CTCATTAACAACCTGAGATATGCTGACGACACAACTTTCTTTGCTGAAAGTGAGAATGACTTGAAGCACTTACTGATGAAGATTAAAGAACACAGTCTGAAGTATGGATTACATCTCAATATAAAGAAAACAGAAATCCTCACAACTGGACCTATAAGCAGCATCATCATGATAAATGGAGAAAAGATTAAAATTGTCAGAGACTTCACATTGCTTGGTTCTACAATCGCCGCCAATGGAAGCAGCAGTCAGGATATCAGATGACATATAGCACTGGGAAAATCAGCTGCAAAGGATCTCTTTCAAGTTCTAAAGAGCAAAGATATCTCTTTGATGACTAAGGTGTGTCTGACACAAGCCATGGTATTTTCAGTCACCTCATATGCATGTGAGAGCTGGACAGTGAATAAGAAAGACCCAGGAAAAGTTGATGCTTTTGAGTTGTGGTGCTGGCAAAGAATGCTGAGAGTACCAGGGACTGCTAAAAGATCTAACAAATCTGTCCTGGAGGAAGTGCAGCCGGAATGCTCCTTGGAGGTGAGAATGGCCAGACTTCATCTCACTTTGGTCATGTTGTCAGAAGGGACCATTTCCTGGAGAAGGATGTCATGCTTGGTAAGGTGGAAGGTTGACAAAGGAGGGGAAGGCCCTCAACAAGATGGATTGACGCAATGGGCTCAAGTATAGCAAGGACCGTGGAGCTGGTGCAGGACTGGGCAGTGTTTCGTTCTACTGTGCATAGGGTTGCTATGAGTTTGGAAACGACTTGACAGCACCTAACAACATATCAGCAAACATATATCAGGTAAGGGTTTTATATATAAAATACTTACATAAATCTTCTACAACTCAATAGCTCAAAGATAAATAACTCAATCAAAAAAATGGGCAAAATAAGGAGATCCTGGAATCTTTGGCTAGAGTGGGAGAACAATGTGGAACAAAACTCAAAATCATTTTTTTAAAAAAAAGGGGGACCAGGTTTGCTGGTCTGATAGAGGCTGGTGGAATCCATGAGACTATGGCCTCTAGCTGCCCTTCAGGTCTGGGATTGAACTCACTCCTGTGGCTTCTAGTCAAACAAAAGACAGGGATATAAGCTGAACATTTGCATTAGATAGATACACTCCTTGGAGAGATCAGTTATGGGAGAATAGAAGGGCTGTATATGCCCAGGGAGATAGCTCGGGGGGGGGGCAGGAGT